TAGATGACTTAAAATGTTGTTTTTGCCTGAAAATGTATAACCGACTTCTCAAGTATGAATATAGAGGGTGGGTTTCTTTAGAATATAACTGTCTGTCTGTCTATTTGTCTATCATGTATAACCGACTTCTCAAGTATGAATATAGAGGGTGGGTTTCTTTAGAATATATCTGTCTGTCTGTCTATTTGTCTATCTATCTATCTATCTATCTATCTATCTATCTATCTATCTATCTATCTATCTATCTATCTATCTATCTATCTATCTATCTATCTATCTATCTGTCTGTCTGTCTGTCTGTCTGTCTGTCTGTCTGTCTGTCTATCTATAGCTATATACAGGATGAAAAGCTCTTTTAGTATTTTAGAAAACAATGGGGTAAGAATGTTTATTAATAGCATGTATTTTAACAAAGACCAATTTGACTGCCAACAACTCTGAATTGCAAAGGCGTACAGCTCTCTAGCATTGAAAATTGCCATGGTCTCGCTATTAAAATTATAATTCTATCCCACAACAGTAAAAGATCGATGAAAGTAAATTGCTTACAAATATCAAATGCGATGAGCAGAAGCAATTACAGGCTTCCATGTTTGAAAAGCACTTTCACTTCAAGGTTAAAACACAAAAAATACATAAAAACTAGACTCATAAAATGGATGGAAATTTCGCTGACGTTAAAAGCGGCGATCAGGTTCCGTGTATAAATTCTTAATGGCACTTGATGGTCCTGTAAACAAATTGGCAGTTATTTCCGTCGAGGGCACATTCATGCTTTTATGATCTTTCTTTGTATAAGACACTTCTTTTCAAGGGTTATGTTAAATCTGTAACGGTAATTTGTTATATAAAAGTTGATGGCACTTAATCACATGTCTATATTGATGGTGATTATAGAACGACGAACCCGCGCTAAAATACATTTTACGGACAGTTATTTCAATGCATATCAAACATAATGTCTAGTACTGAGCGGTACTCAACAATGTAAAAATACGCACCAATAGCCAACACATGTCTCGTCGATAAATTAATTAATCTAGCCCGTTTTTGTATGTATCAATGGTATTTCCTAGTGAGCAAAATAGTATACAGTATATGCTAAATACTGTAAGGAAGATACTCTTTCCAAACCTGACGGTCTATGGGTCAAGTGAAGTAGAGTTCATCTATTTATGTGACCTCGGCATATGAAGGGATAGCGTGGTCAGCACTATACCCACTAGTCTTACTTCCCGTAAGAGATGGGTGGATTCAGGGACAGTCTACTAATTTGAACCCGGATTCGAACTCGAGCAGTCCAGCTCTCTACCGCTAGGCCACTCCATTTATGTACGGACTGGTGATAACGTCTTTAAAAAAAAAGTTAGTTTGAAGTGAATATTGGAACTCCCATGTGAAAAATGGGTTGTGAAGTTGAGTGACTCAGATGGGGTCAGAGAGTAGAGGAAATGGTCATTTGTCTTGATATCATTGTGTGAATGTCCTTGGTGAGGGGGGGGGGGGGGGGTCTTTGTAAACATTGATACAAATACTAAGCCTTCAAATGATATTTAACAAGAGAGGACAGACAAAAATCAAACTAGATATTCGAAATACAACTGCTCTAACCAAATACTAAAAGAGGTTAACACGATTTGGAGATTTCTTTTTAAGTGTAATTAAAATGTATAACTGTCTATGTTGATGAAATTATAGAAACCAGTTTAAAATATAAATTAGCTTAGATACATACGGCGAATTATTTATTTATTTATATCATTAATGAGAAATCTCCAGAAAAAAATGTGATTATTGACTTAATAATCTACATCTAGCTATTTCAACAATTTGATAAGATTTTCCGACATCTCCCTTTAGATGGCACGCGACATCTCCCTTAAGATGGCACGCGCAAGAGAAGTTATGACAGGATAACATTTAATAAGCAAACATTTCTAATACACGTTTAAAAACTGAGGCTCAGAGGGACATAAGACTGTTGCTGTTTTTGATGTGCTTAATTGGGCGTTGATTGAGAAGGAAGTAAACAAGACATTTTGATGTCAGGCTTCGGCTTAATTTAAACATAAATATCAGCTACAACTCATTTCATATAAGGATAACTATTTGATTAAATAAGATTAGTTCAAATTAATTATCAATTATTAAATAAATGGAAAACTTCTGATTTTAGAATTATAACAATTTGCAGATGCACGTTTCCAAATGACAAAATGTTTCAGGATAAACACCTAAAGTTCAACAAATTGTTTAGAAAATGTGCTGATAGTAGGTTAAAAAAAAACGTTTAATCTTGCTGGGTAAACTAAATTTAAAAAAAAATTATGTGTGTCGAAATTATAAAATAATTAAAATGAATACATCGTAATACAATCAACATGCAGGTTGACAAATGCAGCTCTATGGCATATGGCACGGAATCTGTAAAAAAATAAAAACTAGAGAAAAAAATTAGAACGCTGTGAGTCAGCGATTATGGGCGTGTCCAGTGATATACGCATGTTAGGCCTTGGTTTGAATACAGTACATGTAGATGAGGGAGCAAGAATACTCGCCCTGATAAAACGACACCTTTACTCATGTTAAAGGCTTAGTATGGCTCACACGTGTATTATAACTGAACATCCCATAATTACAGCTTGCAAACAACGGAGAAGATTATAGTCGAAAAAGAAAAGTTTTAAAATAGTACAAAGTTCGGATAATTGAAAAAAAAAAAGGTAATTGGATTTTTTTAGGGACATACATTTTTTTATAGTAAAAAAACAAGTTCAAGGTAAACAGGAAGTTGTCATTGTCTCCCTTGCATGCCGGGATAAGGTACATGCTGAGCCAGTACCTGGTCAAGCTGTTAGAGTACATGGAGGTGAAGTAGCCGTTGTGTTTACGTGTCACACATCTGATGGTGCCCATAGGACCTGGAACAAGGCACATGTTTTACACTATACCCTAGGACCTAGACAGGGCACATGTTTTACATTATATTCTAGGGCCTGTAACATGGCACATGTTTAACACTATACACTAGGACCTGGAACAAGGCACATGTTTTACACTATACCCTAGGACCAAGACAGGGCACATGTTTTACATTATATTCTAGGGCCTGTAACATGGCACATGTTTAACACTATACACTAGGAACTGGAACAAGGCACATGTTTAACATTATATTCTAGGTCCTGTAACATGGCACATGTTTAACACTATACACTAGGAACTGGAACAAGGCACATGTTCAACATTATATTCTAGGTCCTGTAACATGGCACATGTTTAACACTATACACTAGGAACTAGAACAAGGCACATGTTCACCAAAAGTCTATATACTAAGACCCGGAACGTGGCACATGTTTCACACAAGTATATACAAGTCTATCTACTAGTCTAGAACTACAGGCCATCAGTCCATACACATATACTTGTTCGGTTGTTGAGACATAACTTAATGAAAAGATGAAGTAGAGTTCATTAGTTTTGGTGACTCGACATATAACAATATAATTGCTTTTAAAATCCACAAAAGTTAATGAAGCAGTGTTTTATCAGTCGTAGATAAAAAAAAAAATTTACGAGGTATAAGGACTGCTGAAAAGTAAATACAAATGATATTAAACATAAAGTAAATAAAGCAATATGTGAGTATGCAATATTTAAATATAGCTTTGAACAGTTTCAAACAGATATACATGAAATGGATCAACGGTTTAAACACTGAAAATGTTGGTTTGTGGAAACTCGTATTAAGGAGCAGAAGTATTGAAATGTAAATAGAACTAAAACAAAAACAACACCCTTAATCATCAAGCTGTAATTAATTAACATGACATACATGTTTTTAATTTCACGTATTTACATAATAGATTACTTTGGTGTTCAGTTAAAAAAAATTAATACAATAAAAAAGTAATGCCTATGACCTATGAAAGAAAAAAAAATGAAAACCATGTCTAAATAAACACATTTCATATAGATATTTTCCAAAAAAATAAAGACAATCACATCACTCAAGTTTGTTTGTTGCTAATGTTGGTCTAATCAACTCGTAAAAACCACTCAAACGTCGCATTTCATAATGACATTCAAGTCAAATGTACCCGAGTAAAAGAAACTAATTATTTTTTGTGCTTCGCGAAACTTCGACTCCTTTTCTGACTCATAGGTAGGTCAACATGATTAAGACTAAAGACGAATTTGTTTTCACACAGAAAGCCTGTGGCGCTTTCCTATATATATATATATATATATATATATATATATATATATATATATATATATATATATATATATATATATATATATATATATATATATATATATATATATATATATATATATATGTCACAGTGGCATGGAGCACTTAAGTATATATAAATCAATTAGAGGGATGGTGTTTTCGGCTGCCTGCTAGCCTAAAAGGCAGGTACCCATTAGAGCTGGGTGGACTCATGGACATCCTACAGAAAAGAAACTACTGATGGATTACTGCCTAACCGGGTCAGATATTTAGCTGACGAAAACTATACCAACTTGCGTTAAGAGCTGAAGAAACACGCATGCCGTTATGACGGAGACTCACACACGCTCTTAGATATCACATTGCCAACAAAAATACACATATTTTTAACGAAGACCTACTGGTAAGTGAATATTACACTTTGAAATCTAAGAATGTAATTACAATTTTTTTGTTTTTCACACGTTGAAGCATAAGATCCTTCGGTAAAAGAAAAAAAAATCAAAGATTTTTTTTCAAATAATGTCTAGCTGATCAAGAGTAAAAATACAATTTAAAAACTATGAGCCAAAAAACAAAACAAAACATAGGTTGTATAACATAAACATCCAAGTTCTCATACATTTACAAACACTTTTACTGACAAAAATATTTTTAAATTTTAATCAGCATGTGTAAGTTCATAAAATAGTGGTAAGCTCGGTAATTAAAAATATAAATAAATTCTAAATTTGACAGAACGGTACACCGTACTTACCGTCGCTGATGACGTAATTTGGTGTCTGACAAAGTATCTCCTTGTAGCCTTCACGGAAAGCCGGAGATCGGAAGGCGTAGATGATAGGGTTACACATGGAGCTGATGAAGAGGAACGTGTAGGCCTGGAAAACAAGACATTTCGGTGGCATGTTAGTCATGACGTTGGCAAAACATGAGGACATTTCGGTGATGTTGGACATTACGTTTGTAAAACATGGGGACATTACATTTGTAAAACATAAACATCAAAATATACCACTAGTCCAGGGGTCGGCAACCTTTTGAGACGAAAGAGCCAAAAGTTACAATTTACAATCTTACCCGTTTTTAAAGAGCCACTAACATTTTTATGTCAATAGTATATTTGTTTAATCCTAAACAAATATCATACTATATATATATATATTTTAAAATAAATAGCTTTGAATATATGAAATAATCTCATCTGAATTTAATAAATAGCTTTGAATATATGAAATAATCTCATCTGAATTTGTGTTGAGAGGATCTACTATATAAGTCAGAGTACTTGCATTTGTTTTGAATAGCTCAAGTCTCTCAGTGAAAACATCCTTCATTTTGTTTTTATTAAAATTGAATTGATTAAATAGTAGCATTGGTTTCATAACGATATTTTTTCAGATTTTTCGTAATTAAGTAATTTATGGCTCACCATGTATTCAACAAAAAAGTATTTTTTTTTCGAAACAAACCACTTCTTCAAGCAAGACGTAGGCTAGATTTTCCTTTCAGTTTTACACTTAGCTGGTTTAATTTCTTTGTGATATACACTATGAAGTTGAATGTTTCAATTCGGAATGGACAATGTAATAGGGGGTACACTTATATAGGGAGTAATCAAATATTCTAATTGAATAGTAAATGTTTATTGTTTATGTCTATTGTTGCATCGTTTATTACCGAGTGTTGCAGACTAATATTTTTATGAGTTTTGGTAATAATATAATTATTAATATTTGTGCATGGAGCTGAAGAGCCGCAACTGAACACCAAAAGAGCCGCATGCGGCTCGCGAGCCGCAGGTTGCCGACCCCTGCACTAGTCACAAGGCTAATTCTTCTCACAAAACATTTCTTTAACCTAATACAACTTTTTATAGGACATGGATGTGTGATTTCCTACATTTTAAAGGTTGTTTTTTTCTGTTAGAAATAATGATATTTGAATTTGTTGTTTTTTTCCCTTTAAGGAAAACAATTTGTTTGAAATAGCAATTTTTTTGAAAAACTGCAGAAGAAGTACGAATGCCATCATTTATCACTACCTCAGCAAATTAAGATGAACTGGTTTGCGCTAATAATTAAATACACTGATAGAAAGCTAAACTGTTCAAAATTTCATTTGAAATGCTAAAATTATTTAAACACCATTAAATCAAACAGTATTATTAGTATGATTTATTGAATACAATTTTAAAATTATTAATACGATTGGAAATAAACAGTTTCAGAAAAAATAGTAGTTATTTATACATTTCTGAACTTTGAATATTAGCCCCTGCTTTTTTTAGGTTGTTATATCCCTTTAAAAATTAAGATTATTTCAACATATATTTTTAGAATAAGTTGCGGAAAGTGCGTATGCTATACTGCCACATGACAGAATCGAAAGTACGGCTATATATTTTTAACGCATTACATCTTGGTTAGGAGTTGTTAGGGTTAGCCTAAGAAAACAGTATAATGATTTTAATCAGAGCAAATATTCAGAATTTTAACTGAATAATGCAATAAGCATCTACGTTTTGTGTAGGTGTATTTTTGTCTATACCTCAGTCACTCTTTGTTATGATTATGATAGAGGAAATTTAAAAAAAACCGCTTATTTCCTATCAATGAGGATAAACAAATGTTTTATTTTTCGACAGCCTTTTTAGACATCGATCCACCTGCTTTTTAATATGATGGTGTTTAATTATTTTAATACTTTTAATAACAACAACAAAAAACTGGATCGCTTAGCTTTGTATCAGTGCATATAATTATAAATAAAAACCAGTACATTATATTTTTTATCTCACAGTTGATATGGAATAGCTTTCAGACGTTTAAATTTGTAAAAAAATTAAATGCTCTAAGAAAAATTATTTTTTTAAAATGTTATTCCAAACAATAAAAACAAATTTTAGAAGAGCCATTTCACTTCTCTGTATTAAAAGATTAAATATTTGTGTTGCTTTAAAATTAGGTTCTATGTGAAGAATTAGTGTTGTAAAGTAAATAGTAAATATTGATATAGCATCCACTGAGCATTTAAAGTAGAGTTCATGTTTCTCGCCAACAGTCACGTCCGGAGATCCGAACTCGTGACCCACGGGCTAGCAGCTAAATGCTCTACCATTCTACCACTTGGTCCCCATGATATATACACGCTTGTTACTAATTTAAAAAAAAAAGATATTAGTTCGAAACATAAAATTTTTTACCAGCCCGTGTTTAAAAAAGTTACTAGTTTTTCAGCCCCTAAACCTACAGCATGAGCGTACTCGTTACGACACGCAACATTTAGCACGAACCGATTTCTTTCAATAAATTACAAGAAGTCTTTTTTTCTCTCTGAGTTTAAATACAGCATGTGGCGATGCGAGCAGGTGTAAAAATTCCTGCTTCCATCCAGCGAGATGGTTGCAATCAACGGTAAGGCATCCTGACTTTAAACGATTTAGCTGTGACAGTGACACCTGCGGCAGGTGATGTGTACACGATCCTGCTGCGCTGGAAACATGGATACCGTTTAACTGAGCAGACGAGAGACTCACCGTTAAGAAATAGGTTGTTTAAAAAAAGTTAGTTTTATTTAGTTACCTTTGACGTCAGCGTGCTGATGAAATGCAATGGTTTTACTGAAAACGTTCGTTAACTGTGTGTTACAACAAACACACATAGACTCTGTAAACACCCATAACTGTAACATACCACACAATTTGCATACAGTCACACACAAATACAAAACGTGTTACACACACAGCTACCTACAAACACACAATTTACTCAAACTTTGTTTCACACAGTCACACAAAATGTATATTGACTGTGCTATACATGAGTACAAATATACACAAACTGTGCAACGCTAATGCATTTTCGATAGTTATTCAACACATCGAATGCGTTTTTTTTCCCCAGACTTTCGATAGGTGTTTCTTGTATTTTCTCTACTTCAGATGGTATATTAAACACTTAGTGCCGTGATATATATATATATATATATATATATATATATATATATATATATATATATATATATATATATATATATATATATATATATATATATATATATATGTCTTAGGCACGAACGGGAAAAGATAATGCTGATGTATATACTGAGGTGTTTCATGCCACTGTCTCTACACGACAGGCGGGTACTGACAGTGTGACGTTCGCAGGGTGTTGACCTTTTGATGAGATGTTGTATTGAATAGATGGATGGTGTCACGTGTAGGCTTGTATACCACACAGGTGGGCTGGGAGACTGGTAGATTGGCAGGTGGGCTGGGAGACTCGTAGGTGGGCTGTGAGGTAGACAGGTGGGCTGGGAGACTCGCAGAGACAGGTAGGCTGGGAGACTTGTAGGTGGGCTGTGAGACTGGTAGGTGGGCTGGGAGACTGGTAGGTGGGCTGGGAGACTGGTAGGTGGGCTGGGAGACTGGTAGGTGGGCTGGGAGACTGGTAGGTGGGCTGGGAGACTGGTAGGTGGGCTGGGAGACTGGTAGGTGGGCTGGGAGACTGGTAGGTGGGCTGGGAGACTGGTAGGTGGGCTGTGAGACTGGTAGGTGGGCTGGGAGACTGGTAGGTAGACAGGTGGGAGACTGATATGTAGACAAGTGGGCTGGGAGACTGGTAGGTAGACAGGTGAGCTGGTTGACTGGCAGATTTTTGTATAGTCTTATTAAATATCGATTTACTAAATGTATAAATAGAGATTATTTAAACATAGACTGTATATACATATTTTGCAAATATAGCCTGTACTTATTTTGTAAATATAGACATGTAAATAGAGATTGTATAAATACAGATTTGTTTATTTTAAGACATTTGCAAGCGTCAAATGACCTAGGGAAAGGAAATTGAAAAACAAACTTTAAAGGATTAAATATCAATTAAATTTGTGAAAAGCAATAAATAGAAATGTGCCAATCATCCCTTTCCTAGCACGATGCACGTGCTAAGTACGATCTCGACACGTGAAAACACACTTGTCAGATAGACCACGATTAAAAACGTGATGTACTCACCAACATTTAAAAAAAATTAATGACAGGTAACACTTTTTTAATGAAAATGTTTGGCTTTACGGGACGACATTTTAGAGTCGTTAATAAAGTGATCAACCAATTCACTTTCGGGCCTACTAAATGCCGACATGGGACAGACAATGAGTTGACATCTGAACTCTGTGTATGTGTGAGTGTGTGTGTGTGTGTTTTCGCTGATACAATACACTGCACAACACGATGGTTAGCACGAAATACATAATTGCTCACTTTACCGTAATTAATCCATGCTTCTGTGCAATTAATATGGCTTTACATAAATACACGCGCACATACTTAAACATACAGTGACAGGAAAAATGATCTAAAACAAACGGGAAAATAAGCCTATATATTATATTTTTGATGAATTTAGTCGATTTAAACATAGATAGGCATGTGGCATATATATATATATATATATTTCTGTATTATATATATATATATATATATATATATATATATATATATATATATATATATATATATATATATATATATATATATATATAATACAGAAATGATAAGTACTTGAGGGTGGTACCCCAAAAGCCGGAAGCTTATAAAACGCGGTCCTTGACTCCCATGGACATCCTCCACTGCCCCCCCCCCCCCCCAACAGGTAAGACACTTGTTTACATTCTCCAAATACTCCTGGCATTTCAGAAGTTCGCTCAGTTTAAGGTCGATCTAAAACATCCAAAGAAGATCACCACCCCACGCTAAAGGTCAAAGGTAATGGGACATATGTAAAAAAAAAATTACAAGTGTTATATACCGGGTATAGTGGGAGGGATAGAGATCTCCACAAGTGATCTGTACTGATTTAATAGAGGATGAAAAAGTTTAGCCTCCAGCTCTGGACAGGATGTACGGCCAGAAATGAGGTTTGTACAACCTGGC